GGGGGGGGGTAGGAATATTTGAATTTCGTTGTCTTTGTCTTATCTCAAGGGTGTTTGAATCAGGTGTATTGGAGGAGGGAAACATTTAAAACATGCAGGATAGTGCCCCTCAAGGACCGGTTTTGCACACCCGAATTATGGTGTAATGTATTCCCGTGTTTAAAAACAAATATTAAAAAAGTACCGTAATCAAATGGGCCAAATTTTAAAATAGCCCTAATACAGCGTGAAGTTAAACTGCTCAAATTTTGCGTGACTTTTAAGGTATCATTTCACATCATATTGAACCTCAGATTGTTCAAATTAAGGGCTGTTCACATTTGCAGATTTTATTGTATCAGTTAAGTGCGAGCGATATTCAAATTGTGTGCGTTTTTAGGCGAGTCCATCCCCATCCGGCTTTTCCTGGCTGGCTATGACCTGACTCCCACGATGCGAGACATCAACAAGAAGTTCTCGGTGCGCTACTACCTAAATCTGGTGCTGATCGACGAGGAGGAGAGACGCTACTTTAAACAGCAGGTGGCCATATGTATTTATCTTGTATCTATCTTAAAGCCGGGTGTTTCTGTTTTGGGGCCCCCCACCATCTGACAAATGAGGAGAATGTTTTGGCCATGTGATCATCAAGAGCTAAGATCAGCACTTTGCTTGCCTGGCCAGGCAACTGGGTCACAGAATTTAGCGCGTTATTTATCTATTTATATATCACACAGCACATGTGCAGTCCTCCTACGGAGAAGATGCTGACGCCAGATCATCACTGAGTCGTGCACTGAAATTGGCAGCTATATCTCACAGCTGAGGGGAAGCATCTATTACGGGAGAGGCCTGTATTTGTACAAAGGCAACCTCACGTTAGTTTGAGCAGAAAAAAAAAATAGTTTTAATGTTACAAGCGAGCACGAATTGTCAAATTAAAAATCCATCAGAATTAAAGAGCCGCAGGTTGCCAAATCCTGCACTCCACCATGAGTATGTATCAACTTTCCCCTTGTATTCCCAGGAAATTACACTATGGCGGAAAGGCGACGTGGTGAGGAAGAGCATGTCCCCCCAGGCCGCCATCGCCTCCCAGCGCTACGAGGGCTCGGCTGCCTCGGAGAGTGCATTGGAGCAGTGTGCCAAGGAGGACAACGGATATGAGCCTCGCCTTCGACTGGACCGGGGGTCTCCGTGAGGCCATGTCCGCCATTCCCAGGGAAGAGGATTAAGGGAGACTGGACTAGATTTATCCCTCCTTGCTTTGTTGTTTTTTTGTTTCTTGACGGAAATCAAAGTAAATCAGCGATTATAATTCCTGGGACTTTCACGCTAACGCCATTCAGTGTGTACTTAATGGTTTAATGGCAACTAATTTAGAACTTTGAACAAGCAACATTCCAGTTATGAAGAACTCCGAAATGTGAAATGCACGCAGGTGTTGTCCAAGGAGTGTGGATGTGTAAATAAGAGCAGTTCAAGTCAGCATTCCGGCAGTATTATTTGCCTGCCACGTCCTAGTGTTTAGTTTGGTTAGACACATGCAAGTGTCTTCCTGCCTCTAAACATGATTTTATGTCTTTTAAAGCAGAGAAGAGTGAAGTTAGAGCTATTTAGATCTTTTTGCAAAGCGCTTATGACTGATTCATTGTGCCCAAATTGTCAAATAAACTGATGCCAAATGGGAAAAAAAAGTCACACTTATTTCTCATTGTAGTTTTGTTTGTCTTTTCACCACAAACATTTTACAACAAACACATATCACGATGATCTACTACATAAACTAAAGAGACAGATTTCAGCCCAGCACAGTCACAGCGGTTCTTGGTCCTCCAAGCTCAGAATAAAGTCAAATTCCTCTGCAGGGATGATAAATAAAACTGTGTGTGCAACGACGCTGATGCTACATTTTAAATTATCTCATCAATTACCAGTGGTTAGAGGCTGCACGGACAGCCTGGGTCTGGTGAAGAGCATGATGTCCTTCAGAGGGCCCCCATTGGTCCGATGTTGCAGGTGGTACTCTTTGAGCTCAGACAGAGGAAGAAACCGCTTCAACATTCTTTGGTACTGGATGTCCACCTATGAGCCAGGAACACCATCAGCATCATCCCACCTTAACTTTTCACCCTCATTTCATTTGCATTAGGACTTGTTCTTGTCTTGTTACCCATGCGGGTGATGGAGCATTGAATGATGAGTTGGTATTCATTCAGAATGTTTTCATTCATTTTTAGGAGTGAGTCTTTAAACTGAAAACAACCAAAAAAATCCCCAGGAGCCACCCTTAAGGGGGAAGTCAAGGGCACATTTTTCTTTACAATATGTTCTCGGCGGATCCACTTGTCTAAACATGGCATTCTGATTAGTATTGGGTTTGTGTAATAATTTAATAAGGAAAATCCACCTGTTTCAATCCATCTGAGGGGGTGGTCATTTTGCCACTTGCTGTTTACTAACGATGACATCACAGTTCCTCGGGTAAGGATCAATCACGGCTCACCTGTTTTCTGACTTTGGTCACGTGGCGTTCGTAAGCTGAGCTGTGATTGGTCGTTCCTTGAGCACAGACTAACTGATGGCATTTTTTAGCCGACAGCAAGTGGCAACACCCCCCCCACCCCCAGATGGATTAAAATACATTCAGACGTGGATATCTGATTTCATGAATTATATTTGATATTATTCATTGAGAAAGGAGGGTTTGCTGTTCATATCTAATATTTTATACCATCCAAAGGAACAAAAAATAATAACCAAAGATCGGTTTGTTTAACCCCTGCAGGACTCACTTTGAAGAAGTACAAAAATGTGTATAATAGAAAATTATGGGTTTTTTTTTTCCTCAAAATCACAGAGAGGATGTGATATATTCTCAAGTTTAGAGTTCTTTTTTTTTTTTAATTATTATTCCAAACACTCGTTTAGCATGTCATCTTACCATGCTCCACTTGGGCTTCTCTGGCGATTAAAATACATTCAGACGTGGATATCTGATTTCATGAATTATATTTGATATTATTCATTGAGAAAGGAGGGTTTGCTGTTCATATCTAATATTTTATACCATCCAAAGGAACAAAAAATAATAACCAAAGATCGGTTTGTTTAACCCCTGCAGGACTCACTTTGAAGAAGTACAAAAATGTGTATAATAGAAAATTATGGGTTTTTTTTTTCCTCAAAATCACAGAGAGGATGTGATATCTTCTCAAGTTTAGAGTTCTTTTTTTTTTTAATTATTATTTCCAAACACTCTCTTAGCATGTCCTCTTACCATGCTCCACTTGGGCTTCTCTGGGTTGCTGCGAGCATCATAATGAACGTCTTTCTTGTCAAACTGCGTGTGGTCCACATATGCTTCCTTCACTATCTGGACAAAGGGAAAAGAAACACCGCTCATTAAACATGGCAGTAAGTACAATGATATACATCCTAGCATGGGATCTTACTTTCATGATTCCTACTATGCCAGGTTCCTTGCAGTTGCTGTGGTAGAAGAAAGCCAACTGGCCCTCTTTCATTTGACACATGAAGTTACGTGCCTGAGCGAGATAGAGCAAGACTGTGTGATAGCAGTGACATCTTTTTTTGTAGCGTCATACAAACTGTAAATTAATCTTCCGATGTAGGGCTGCAACAATGAATCGATACTCCCCATAGTCAGTTAGGACAGGCTCCAGCACCCTGCGACCCTCATAAGGATAAGTGGCTCAATTAATGGGAGGATAAATGTTAAATTTTTTTCGTGTGTTGGTCCGTAGCCTATTGAAATTTGATCTCTACTTTAATTTTTTTTAATCATAATTTATTACTTGAAGAACTCTGGTATGTTCATGCAGCAACTGCCAATTTGAAATGATGTCCAGTTCTTTTGACTGTAATTAAGGGATGGAAATTTTAGAACAATGTTTTTTTAATCCGGTCCATGGATTCATTGAAAAAATAAGTGACAGATTAATCGATTATTAAAATAATCATTAGTTGCAGCCCTACTTTGATGACAAAAGTTGCTTTTTTGCAGCTCTACCTGATAGTTGCGGACACCGTCCCAGCAGCTGGTTTGATTAGGCAAAGCCTTCAGATCCTCAATTCCAAACTGTAAATTTAACAATGATGAGATGTTTACAATCATATACCCGAGTAGTCATTTGGTACTGTACCTTGACGTCAATGCCATTCTCAAAGCGGCTCTCTGGCTCAGATTTCATGAGCCAGCGACAATATTGCTTGGCACTCGTCCCCTCCAAAGCCTCCACTGAAGATGAAGCCTTCCTCTTGAGGCTCGGCTTCGGAGAAGAATCAACCTCGTTGTCAGCGTCTCCATCTGTGTTACACAGAATGTACTTTTAAACGAACCAGACAAAAAGGATGTACTTGACAAATTGCTTCAACCTACCTGAGTTTATTGTTCTTTTTCTCACTTTCTTCTTTGGAGGCATTGCTTTTCTCTGTAAGTAAAATCCTGTACTCTTACATGGACTTTAACCACCAACTTCATCAGCATACACTCAACATTTAGTGGAGAAAAGGGGAACAGAGGCTTTTTTGTTTTAAATTGGTGCTATTAAATGGAAGATGTCTGGCGCTTTTATTTTTAATTATGAGCAATTATGAGTTCAACTTTTAAGGCTTTATGAGCAGTTCCTCTGGGGGTTCAAAACGTTTTTAAAATTGCACGATAGATGTGCTAAAACACGATTTTAAAGTATGACATGCCCAAGTGGAGAGCGACCTCGACGTTTATCAACATCGGTATCGGAGTATATTAGTAGTATCAGTTAAGTATTACTTCAACAATACAACACTCGTAACCTTGCTCAAATGCGTGAATCCCAAATTAGCGTTTGGCAACCGTCCATTTTCTGAAAAATGAAGAAACATGCTTTTCCTTCATTAGTTTTGGGTTCAACAATCAAAAACGCGTCCAGGCAAACTATAAGACATACTATTAATGCTTAGTAGGTTTAAAGTTTATCTGTTGTAGGTTGATTAAGTCCATAGAGTTAAAAACAATGGTAACCATACCTTTAAAGTCAGTCGTGTGTCACATCAACAAGCGGCCATTAAAACCCGCGCCAATCCGGAACGCGTGACGTCACGAGAAGCAGCCTTGGTTTCCTCACCCGCACGTTACTAACCAATGTTAATTGTGTGCCAAGTAACTGTAAAATAAGAAAATATAAAAGAATAAAAATAAAGATAAAAATACATTTAAAATTAAAACTAAAATGAAATCACCGGCGAGCTCGATGTTGTTCTAGAACTACAAATCCCATCAGCACTATCGGCACATGTGGTTTATTGAAAGAAAAAAAAAAAACATGGCGGCTGGCGGAGTATTAAGAGTCGCCCGGCTGACTGCGAATATCTGCAGGAGACATCGTTTTTTCGCTGGTAGAAGTGCACAGAGACGAGGGGTAGCTTCGTGTATCGATCGTAAGTCAACGCCCAACAGCAAGTATACGTTTAACAACGATCGTCATTAAAATACTCATTTGTGTACCGATGGTAGAAAGCAAGGCTGGTTTCACGTTAGTTTACAAACAACTTTCTATACAACGATTCAGACGTATTTTTAATGTGGGCCGTCTGAATGCAGTTTGGCCATTTTTAAATGTACTTTTAGCTTAAATGTCATTGGCAAGAGGCGCTCCTTCATTCGTCAGAGAGCTGCACACCCCTCACTGATACACCCCCCCGCCCCCATTTTCTTTCTATTTTTTTAATGTCCTTCCCGAGATAAAAAGAACACACCGTTGTTTTCTTTCGTGACATTGACACTTGTCGCCGGTGGGCGCTTGACGTCAGATTCAGTCGACAACTGGTGGCGGTAATGCATAAAATGTCAGCCTTGTGAAGTCCCTCGGATGTCCGAAAACATGTGGACACATCTGCTTCATTCTTATTCCATGAACGCAAAATGAATCAGAATACAGTACGACGTTTAGACTAGTGGGGGCACACAGAACATATTGCCCAAAATGTTTGATTTACGATTTCATTACCAATACTGAAGTCATACAAATAAACTTAAAAATAAGGCGGCCGTGGCTCAGGAGGTAGAGAAGACTGTCCAGTAACCAAAGAACTGGCTGTTGGAATCATGCTCTGTTCGAGCCATGTGTCCTGTCCTTGGCCAAGACAGTTCAGGCACATTACCTCGAGTGACACTCTCACCGGTGTCAATTGGTGGGCGGAGGTGCTGTCGGTGCATCTTGGCAGCCCGCTTCCTTCAGCCTGCAGCAGGACATCTGTGCCTACAGAATGTAGTTTCCCACCACCAGAGCATGAATGTGCGAGTGAATGAAATATATACCCAATGTGAAGCATCTATGAGTGTCCAGAAAAGCACTATGTAAAACTGATTCATTATTATTCTTATAAAATTTAAAAAACTGACCTGAAAGTGCAACATTTTCAGACTGATGAAAACACAACCAGATTTTAAAAGAAATTGAAATATGTTGTTACATCTCAAGTAGTTAAGAGTTTGTCAATTAACTATTGTTAATAATAAATAAATAATAAAAACAAACTTAACAGACGGAGGTGGGTCATTACAAGCCACATTTACCCCATAACTTTTTACTAAACTAGTTCAGTTTAAATACAGTACGTCACGTTTTTTAACTTTTGCTTGAGTATTTTTTTTAAAGAATTTTTTCTTTTACTCTGTTATAC